AATTTATCTATTTTAGTAATTATTTGTGCACATTTTATGCTGTGTAATATGTGCACACAAAAATTTAATGTGCACATTGTGCATATGAATTTTATACACTGATTCTCATGCTTCTTATATCAATGTAGTTTTGCAAGAATTATCCTACTTATCCTTGTTCAATAGTGACAGACATAATGATGAATATGAATTTAAAAATTCTGGCTTATGTCTTGGATACGAAAGGAGCATAATAAGGGAAAGGTAGTTGGCCGATACATAAAGATTTCTTATTATATTAAGTGTCGATCTTCACCTAATGAAAAAGAAATTAAGATAAATACTCTGCCAGAAATTATTTCATCAGTCACACCTCAAGCAAGTAGGACTAATCTAACTTATGATTGCATCTATTTTCAAAATAAAACATTAGATCAATATTTTACTTTATATAGTGATTTAATAGTAAAAATTTTGATTATTACGGAATTACTAATGAGAAATTATGTCTATTATATAAGTTAGATCATAGCAATAAAGAAAGCATAGAAGATAGATATAAAACCAGATCCTATTTTATTAAATGTGAATAGTGTGAACTTGAGATAACTGCATAGTTTTATTATTTTATAATACTATATTTGCTCATGCTTCATTATGATATTTTTTATAGGACTAATTTATATCAACTATTACCTAATTTAAATTGATTTGCAACTATATAAAAGACAATATGATAAAGTATTAACTTCCAAATATCTGGATTGGCATGCCAAATTAAGTAGGTAACCAAGAATTTTAACAGATAAGATTCGTTTCAACTTATACAAAAGATATAAAAAAGAAACTGGAAATGAGCTATAGCAAGCCATAATAAGTATATCAGAAAAACTTCAAGCCTCTGATTTAAGCTTATTACCTTCAAAGTCAAATCTGATTCAGAGTTAATTATCAAATTTGTGTTAGAGCATTTCACATACTTGAAATTTTGAAATAGTTTCAGAGGGATTGATAATTATAATTTTGCATCACCTTAACTGTAGAGCTTACTATGTCCTATTTGCAATAGAAAATATAGGAATTATAGATTACATGGTGAATGGTATAGAACAGAATATTGTTTTACTTACTTCATTTCAAGCAATAAATTCAAGTTCGTGATTATAACATAAAAACTCTGTCATATGAGACTGATTATCTGAAATGTGTAGAAGAAATTCAGTAAAATTCTTACTGAAAATAGGGGCTGTATGACGTAGAATTGGCATATATATTCACATTATGGTATTTTTCAAATTATGTGAATGGTTTAGATATCATGTATCATTTATTCTTCTTTACAGTAATTATGTCACATGTTCTATAACACTCTTCTAAAGTCAAGAGTATAGTTCGTAAAAGAATAAAAGACATTCAATTTACATCATCGGCCAATAAGATCCAATCCAGAAGCCTTACAGTAATAGATACAGAATTACAAAAACTTGTGCATCAAGGTCTAATATTTGATGAAGTTCACGAAGTATTATCATATAATCAAAAAAGTATGCTTTAGGTTGATAACTTTATTAATCTTTCGATTAAGCTCGAAAACCAATGCAATGATTTAAGAAAAAAAGCATATTACTCCTTAATGAGAGAACTCTTTAGTATGAAGGTATTTCGTGATGCATTCAGTTAAGATGGACTCATCTCCAAAGCAGAATATTACAGAAATGAAATAGATAATCACATAGTTAGCTTTATCACTCAAATAGAAAAAAGTAAAAAAGGATAATTGAGCCATAGATCAGTTGCGATATTACACTAAGTGATAACTATGGAAAGAGTGGTAGATTTGCTTAATGATGCTGAAAATAAGGGTCCTAAAATGTGTGGACAAATAATCATTTTCTAAAAGATGTTCTCCCAAAATCACGTGGGTGGCTTAGATAACATGCAAATGTCATCTATATTTCTTTTGACGCCCTGCAGTAAGACGTCACTGGTCTATCTAAATCTGCAGAATATGCTATGTACAGTAAATGTCACTGGCATCTGCAATCGCCATTTTTTAGAAGATCTATTAATAAACCCAGCCAAGAGTAATATTTTTATGTTGCTATACTAATGAGAGTTCTGGTATGTTCTATCTCATGCATTACGCAGTTCTGAATTACTAATAAAAAAATACATTCTGATTTACATGCAGATTGTAAGACAGAGCGTCGTTAAAAAGAAATTCAAAAATAGAAATAGAACTGATTAGAATCAATGATTTACAGATCCTCAGGTAAACGATAATTTTTTATTATCCTACTGATGTTAGCGCATTCAAATTATGTATACAAGTTACTCAGACATTAATCTGTTTTGAATAGGAATTACATGTGTGATTCATCATCTACAGATCTCGATCCATAATGAATAAATATTCTAATTTTTGTGATTACAATTGAAATAGGGGTTGTGAACTCAAACAAAGATACACTATATGCGATCTGTTTCATAAGAGATCTTAGAAATAAATGGAAAATTTTGAGATACAGCATTACTCTATTAGTATTATATCAAGTTATCATAAAATCATAATTCGTCAGATTTTATTTTAAGCACTATTGTTAAATGCATCTCAAATTCAGGGAGGAACATTTGTTATTATTAGACGGGATCCAGACTATTATAATTGTTTTAGCTGAAAAATATAATTATGAAAAATGTAATTATGACAAATACACATAATAAAGCAACGTAATTTTTATTAAATTGAGTTAAATTCTCTTTTCACGTGTAGTAAAGATACAGTATAAAATAAACCTTTTTCTCAGCACATTTACGCAAGAGAATTGCATATAAAAAAAATCAATCGTTAATATCTAAAAAACTTGATCCACCAATAATCTCTTAATAAATTACTACGCATCAATTTACCTAATCATGTCCAGTTTGTCATTGCTCAACTCTTCTAGAAGCATACCATTTTTGGTCTTAACTGCTATTTTTTTATTCGTTAGTCCAACGATATTCGTGAGGATCGTTACCATTTGATCAAATCTCAAACAAAAAATTTCCAATGAACTTCTGCATATGTCACTAGAATTGTCAATGATCTTGATATAAAAAATAATATACCAAAACATCTTTAGTAAATTTACCGCGAAAATTAATACTAAAATTACTAATGAACTTTCCACACGTCTTTCTGAAGTTAATTCTACTTTTACTGCGGAGCTCAGCAGAATCAATAATAAACTTAATAATAAACTTAATGAAGAAGTTAATGCTAGGTTCGGTAAAACTAATACCGAGTTTAGTGCTAAACTTACTGGAGAAATTGCTAAATCAATTCTCGTGATGCTGATTACGCCTCTGAGGTATAGAAAATTTTATCGATGATTTTGGCAACATTTCATCTAAATTCACTGCGAGATTTTTTTTAAAAAAAATCATATATTTTTCTAATGTAGATATTTTCATCCATCTCTATAATTTATGATATGCAATGTGAAAATAAATAGGACATTGATTAGTTCTTTTGAAATTCAATATTTGGAAAGAAGGCAAAAAATAAATTTCTCAAATAAATTTGGCTTCAGAGATTGTTACTTCGATCAAGACTTCTATTGAAACTTTCTGAAATAAAATGATCCAATGTTATGCAATTGTCCAAAGGCTTTAGGTTGATTTAGATCAATTGAGTGTGGCCAACCATTCCTCTAGTAGCAAAAGTTCTTCTAGTCAATTATCTGATTCATCTCTTGAAGAAAATAAGAACCGTTTTAAGCGAGTTTTTGATTCGAATAAGGAAGAAGGAGAAACTTTAGATTATGCGTTTGAAACAGTTAGATGTGAAATTCATCAACTTACTGGGGAAAAGATTGGAAAAGAAACTGTAAAAAATTTTTATTATGGTGGAGGAGATCCAAAGTTTAGAATAGTAATGTCAATTATGAGATGGGTAGATAGTAAAGAATTTAGTGGTAGTGCAAATAATAATGTGGAGTAGTGGGGTAGGAACTATTATATGGGTTAGGGCTCGGCTAATTCCTCCCTTGAAACATTTTGCTACTCCATTTACTTTATTACTTTCATTTTTTACTTTTGCCGGCCGGCCCTTTCTCATTTATTGCTTTATGAAAAATGAAAAAAATATAATAAAGATTTCACTTTGAATTTTTAAACATGTGTGCATGTTTTATGTGTATATACATTCTTAAATATAAATTTTGTGTTCGCTTATCAAGCAAAGAAATAACTTAATGCTGTGACTCGCATTAAATTATTTAGAATTTCTCTTTGATAGCATTATATGTTTCTTTTTCTAAATCACCTTTATTATTTAATAAATATGTATTGGGAAATAAGTTGTGCAAAATATATGATTTATTTCATGATTTATTACATTTTATGATTTAAAATGAAAGTAATATATAAAAGAAAGAGAAAAAGCAAAAAGGACTAAAGTAGCTTGCAATAATAAAAATTCATTTATTCTTCATTTAGTGTGATAATGCAGTATAGTCCTATGTGTCCAAATATTTAAAGTTTTAAAAATTTTTTTAATCTTCTTTCTTCCTGGAGCAATTTCAGCGACTCACTACCCACGACCTCACTCAAGCCAAAATCAATAAAAAAGTAATGGCGACTCTTTGGTTCATATAGAATATTTTTCTCTGAGATATCATTGTGTAGGACACCACAATTATGTATTGATTTTAGCTGATTGACTATTGACTTTTTTTCTTCTTTAGTGAGTCTTTCCGGAACAACGTGATGACCCTCAATTAATTGTAACGCTAACGCAAAAAGATATCCGTCATAAATGTAACCTTTGTAGAACAAACGTGGAATATCACGACCTAATATCAATATTGCAATAGACAAGTTAATATTATCCAAAAATATTATGAATGAAAAAAAATTGTACCTTGACATTCTTTCAAAATAGAATATATATGAGCTTCATGCTTTAGCGTTTTCATCTCCTCTTGCTTTTTATATGCATCACAAGTCTTCCATGCTACATCTTGATTATCATAATATCCAGAAAAAACTTTTCCAAATGATCCGCCACCTATGTACTTATCTACAGTAGTAATTCCCTTGGATGAACTCGCAATTGGTTTTCTACTCCTCTTTGATGTTCTCTTCCTCTTCTCTAAACCAGCATAATCATCACCATCATCATCAGAGCCATCAGAACCATCAGAGTCATCATCAGGGTCGTAATCTGGGTCGTCATAATCATCAGGACTAGAGTCATCATCATCATCATCATTAGATGAATAACTGTCAAACACTACACGTTCCAATCTATTACCAACATTATCATTAATGGCAAGTTGGCTGATAAAGTAAACGCATTCGCGTAAAGTCGGATTAGTATCAGTGGGTTGAATAACACGGGAAATATGAAGGGTGGTTGGATTTGTTTCTACTCGCTTGAGAAAATATGTATCACTATAATTTGATAAAATTCCATAATGGAGGCCATTACAGGCCATTTCACGAAATATCTGCGATAGGATACGTTTCTTGAATTTAAAATTTGGATCGAATCTTTGGTCTCCAAATCTTGAATTCATTATTCCACACCGGTCGATATATCGATAAATTTCCCAGAAATTATAACCGCGTAAATCAAGATTGTGGCACGTTTTCATTTCCACCGGCATCTTGGCCACTGTGTAATTATTAGTGCATAAAACATGGTCAGAAGCACCTAAAAATCCGGCAGGTGTATCAAGAAATGCTCCTTGTGGTACTAATAACGATTCAACAGGCGCTAAAACATTATTCAGTAAACGAGTTTTTGCCTCGCCTTCGACTCTGAGAGGTACTGCACTTGTGTATCCAGTGGGGAATAGTCCTCCTGGAAGGGGAAAAATCGTACCAGCACGTCTGACATGTTGAAAGAATCCGGTCCATTCCCTCACGTTTTCTGGAAAAAGTGGGTAAGCAGGTATTGTTGAAGTTGTATTAGGTGTATTTTGCGGGATCCATTGGCAAACTGGAACGACGTGACCTAGTAATTGACTTGCTGTTTGAGCCATAATAGAAGACCATTAGAAGAGCAAGAAGAAAACTATCGTTCTTTTATGAAAAAATAATCATTATATGTATATATCACTAACTTTTTGATTCAAATTCCGAATCAGTTTTATTTGATAAAATCATAACGTTATTAATCGTTATACTAGAATATTTGACATTTTGTATTTAAACTGACCGTTACTATAGATTTCACAAAAGCGTTTAACTAATGAATTTGATCGAATTGAAGCATTAATGGTACATAATTACAATGATAATTTAATAGAGCAAAAGGATATGGAAGGACTTAATTTAATTGGGTTTAAAAAATAACATTTACATTCAGTTTAAGATTATATGAATGCCTTAACCTTATCTTATCTGTTAATACAGTAGCGGTTAAAGTTAATTAATAATATCTATTAAATTTTTTTTTTTTAAATTTAAGTTCAGTACTAACCTTGATAATCTATAAAATTATAGATTTTTATCATGTATAATTTAGAAGTTAGATGATCGATATATTTTATATTTCAAAAAAAATAATCTTATTTTATGTAAATAATTTCATTTTTTATTATTTAACGCCTAAACTCCTTAAATATATTTATTTTTTTTTTAATATATTAATTTTTTAGGAAGTATTACACATTTTTTATAGAATTTAGATTATACAGATATTTAGAGAACTTCAATAATACTGTATTCTTCCTTTTAGGGAACAAGTATTTTTAATACATCACTCGTTTTTTAAAAAGTTATTCTATTCTGTATTTGATACGTATAAAAATTAGCAAAAAAATCTCATCCTTGAAGAATAAACCTTATTTTAGAAATCATTATAAATGGTTAGATCAAAATTTGAAATAAAATTATAAAAAATTTAGTCCTACTTATAAGGATATTGAATAATGAATCACAATTAATTTACTTAATAATTTAATTCTAGCAATTCTTGATATCTATGCAAGTTTATTTTGAATAGGCTTATTTGATAAATATATAGAACCAGTTTTTAGAATTTAGATATTTGCCCTACAGTGAAAAAGAAAAAATTATAATAAAGCTTTACTTATTTTCTTATCAGATTTATTTTACTTAAAAGATACTAATCAAGTTTTAATGAATATTATGTAGAAAATACTTATAGTCAAATTAGAGCTAATATCTCTTCAAATTTAACAACTGATAATATTATAAAATAAGCTTATGTTATTAGTAAGTTATTTATTTATTTATTTATTTTTAAATTTACTTTATTCTATTTTACTTATTATATAGTAGATTATGATTCAACATTTAAATATAACTATCATAAGACACAAAAGTACCCATACAATAAACAGTCTTTTTCTATTATAATATTTTCAGAAACTGTTTATAATCATGAAAAAAGTGAATCTAAATCTGAAAAGAGAAAAAGAACAAATGAATCCTAAAATCGTATCATCTATTACTTTAGAAAAAGATGTGAATTTGTAATGTTTACTGACAACTTATATTACATCATGCTCACTACAACTTAATACATGCAATCATTATAAGTCTTCACATGATGAAAATGATGAAATAATATTTATTTATAAATATGGCTATCATTTGATATATTATAATAGAAAGTGTGTTTATTGTAAAAAATTCTACAAAAAAAGAATCTTTGATCATATTAATTCATTTTTAAAATAAATTAAAAAAAGATGCAGATATTTTTAAATCAGAAGATTTTGAGAATAATGAAAAGAAAAATAAAAAGGATAAACATTTTGAAAAAATAGAAAAAAATCTAGATGTTTCATCTAAACTAGAAGTTGAAATTAACTAAATATATTTTTGGTAAAATTATAAATTAGCAAAAGTAAAAATAATAAATAATTTAAATATATAATAATACTTTTAACTTAGTATCAGATTACTTTAAAACTTATTTTGCATTTATATTATTTTTAATAAGTAATTAATAACAAAAATATATGTATAGTAAAAGTTATGTAATAATTGAATTATAAGAGATTATTCTTTATGATCTGTCTAAGTAATAATCAAAAAATAGTCTGACAAAGTTGAGAAAACTAATAAGGTTTTTGATAACAACTCATATGATATATTATATTTTATATATAAATTATATATAAATTCTTATGTAATATTTATGCATAAATAGGAACTTCTGTCATACTATCTGAGTCTGATCTTTTTTTATATTTGCATTATATTGATCATTTTTATCAAAAAAATTTTTGATACAATATATATAAAATATGCATACTTTAAAAAATTCAAAGTAAATTTTATATTTTTGTAAAGTAATATATAAGAAAAGGTTAACCAACTAAGTAAAAAATGAAACTAATAAAAGATACTGGAATAAATTGTATTTAAAGGAAGAATTATAGCAGCTCCTGAACTATAATATGACAGTTTCTTTTTATTACTCTGCATTATTATTAAAATTACTAAATTCTTTTCTAACTATTTATCTCATAATTAATATTATTATATTATACTTTAGATTACTAAGATCATAATAAAAGTTTTTTATAGTATCCTTTCTAATCTTTTTTTCAGTAAGATCACAAATTTCATATTTCATAGTTTTAAACATATATTCTATAAAATCTTCCTTCACATTATATAAATTATAAACTTGCTTAAAATGATTTCTATTTTTCTCAAGAGATAAATTGGATGATATATTAAAATTTCTGGATAAAGAGCTGGTAGCAAATTATCACTTTTACTTGATTAGTTTAAAATTTTAAATTGATTACTTACACTTAATTGATTTGAGCAATCACATAATATTAGTTCATTTCATTTTAGAAAACTTCAACAAAGATATCTAATTCAGATTTCATTTTATCAAATTCATTATGATATGCTTCTTCAAAATTATAAGTTCTGTAGTCATATTATTGATTATTGAAAAGATTTTCTTGCATCTTAGAGACATAGCCAGCATCATGTAAATCAATTTTAACAATTTCTTCTTTAAGTTTATTATTAAATTTATTATTAAATCTGCTGAGTTCTATAGTGAAAGAAGAATTAACTTCAGAAAACATATAAAAAGTTCATTAGTAATTTTAGTACTAAATTTTATGCTAAGCTTTTGTTCATTCCAATAAAGATCTTTTCAATTTTCACAATAATACTTTCATCATGTATCTTATTTTTTCAATTTATGCAGTAAGATTAACATTAATTTTAAATATATATATAGAAAGCTCATTAATAATTTATTATTACGTGAAAGAAGTCATTAGAAAATTAATTTTTATAACATAAATCAAGGAATATACATTAAGAAAAATAAAAGGTGTAAAGTTTTCAAAGATATATTATAAGGTATTACTTTGTAAGGTAAATGCAAACATAATTTTAGGATAAAGCAATTATAAAACAGTTTCTGAAAATATTATAATAGAAAAAGACTAGTTTTTTTTATCTAAAAAATTAAGTATTTGTTTATTGTATAAGTACTTTTGTGTCTTATAATAGTTATCTTTAAATGTTGAATTATAATCTACTATATAATAAGTAGAATAGAATAAAGTAAGTTTAAAAATGAATAAATAAATAAATAATTTAGGTGGAACAAAATAAATTTTTCAGTTTTTATATCCCGATCAGGTTAATGGAATAGAGTTTCAGAATTTTTTTTTAGATAATTGACCAATCATAATGCTTTACATTATTTCACGTGATCGATATGTCAATTAATTGAAATTTAATTTACACTCAGATTAATATTCAGGTTGATCTTTTTATGTTTTATTATTCATATGCAATCTAGCATTTAGCATACATAATATAGTAATAAAAAGAAGTTAATTTTTTCTATGTTTTTTCTTATCTTTATCTTCTTGTTTTCACATTAGACATTTCTTTGAAATGGTAATATTATTACTACAACTACTACAACGAGCGTATTCACCTTTTGCTGGCTTAATAACATTTAAACTTCTGCATTCAATACAAATATTTGGATAGATTCTAGCTGAATAGTATAGTTTTTCTACTTGTAATACACAAGACCACGAATCATTAACGAAAACTCTTAAAAAAAGTTTATGTATTGCATTTTTTGCATTATTACTAGTTTCGGCTTCCATATTATTATCAGACTCTTCTTCTTCGCCTTCACCTTCACCTTCACCTTTACCTTCGTATTCTGAACTTTCAGATTCATTTTTATTATGTTTATTTTCATTCATTGGTTGTTTTGGTGACACTGCTTTTGTAAGATTACATGTATTATAGAATGACATACCACAGGTATAAAGGATTGTATTCAGGAATTCTTGTAACATCGTTTTGTCTTTTTTTGAAAGCTTTTTTTGCACTAAATAAAAGATGCAGCTTTTCACATTCAAAGCAATTTACAATAATACCAACGTTTTTTGCACGCGCGGCAGAAGGATAAAATGGCATAATATGTTTTACACTCGTAGTCTTCATTTTGCCCCTTTTTGTTTTCATTTTAGTATTATTAAGTGAAGGTCTATAATCTTCTATCATTTGCTTACAATACAATTCTTCAAATGACTTATAATGTAAGTCATCCCCAGGTACCAGATCTGGAAGATAATGAAGTTGCTCAAAGTCTTCTGGTGAACAACGAGGAGAATAGCAAATAGTACAAGATGATTGGTCGCATTTTTTGATTAAAAAGAAATAATGTCTTGTTGTATAACAATGATTTAAGAATTCTTGCAGAGATGGCTTTAAACAAAGATAAGTTTTATGAGTTTTTTTTTGTATGATAATTCATTTAAATAGCATTTTACTTACCCTTCTTTTTATATGTTCAGCAGTACAGTCTTCATGAGTAATATTATCATCCACAAGTAAAATAGTTTCTCAAAATTCTTTCATTTCCGTTTCTGATGCTGCAGTAAATGTTTTGAATGGTTCATCTTTAAGAGACTGATGGCTGAATATACTACGAATTAAACAAATTGGAGCTTGAAGACTTTCAATGAGGTCTTTCTTCAAATTAGATTTTTCTTCAGCAATCTTG